AAATAAGCTGAGTCAAGAATTTCGATAATGAGCTCTCTCTACTCTCATTTTGAATTGAATAAGAATTGGAAAAAGAAGTGTTTCGCTGGATAAATTTGGTGCAGGAAGAGGGTAATATATTAATATGTTGAACCATATGGATTGGTTTTGAAAAGTGTGAGGTAAGTACCCAAAGGGTAATGCCCATTTGATATCTGTCTCATCATTTTTTTGTAATTTATATTCTAATATCATGGAAATCCTTACAATTTCTGTATAATAACGTGGACCTTAAATTTTTACAAATTTCAAAATTATCGAATTGATTTTAATACATAGCATGACACTAGACGACAAAATACTTCACGTGCTTAACTTATATTACGTTGGAGCTTCCATTAAAAGAGGCAAAACGACACCGTGCCAAATCCGGGATGAATTCTAACCTAATTTAGAGAGAATGGGGCCCCTTGTCATTTACACTTTCGGTTTGAAGTAAAATTTATTATCTCAATACTCGTAATATACTAATATTAGAGACTAATAAGCAAAAATGCTACGAACACGAATATTGGTATCAATTTTTGCACCGATCTATGTGCATCTGACTCACGTGGCATGTAGACACAACACGTATTCAGTGAATACGTCGTCCAAAATTATGGATGCTCGTCCATATCTTATGGACGACCGTTCATCACAATGGACGAGATTTCAAAAACTCAATAGACCCTCGCATCATATATGGACGGGAGTCCCTTTACTATGGACATCCCGTCCACATAATGGATGTCGTTCATATAATTTATACTCAAATATTTTTTTTTTAATTTTCAAATTTTTTTTTTCATTTTTAAAACCTATAGCTTGTCTAAGACCTTCTACAAATAAGCGTCAAATTTTTAAGATGAAATATTCATTTTTAATGCACAAAATTTTAGATGAAAAAAATAAAAAAAAAAAAAAACTTTGATTTTAAAGTACAAAGTATGGATGCAATCAATCTAATGGACGACCCGTCCAATGAGATGGACTGGGTCCATACTCAAATAAATGTTTTTTTTTTTTTTATTTACAATTTTTTTTCATTTATAAAAAAAATGCAAAGAAGAGAGAAATGAAGAACTGGATAAAATACTGACAATGTTGCAACAGTGGCAGATGAGACGAATAAAGACGAAGAACGGTGGCAGATGGAGACAAAGAACAGCAAAAGGCTTTTGTTTTTTAAACTGTTTTGGGAGCCCTAAATTTTTAAACATTCTAATTGAAATTTTAAGAAATTTTTTTTATTAACTAGAATTTGATATGGATGGCCCCATTGTATATAGACGTCCTCCATTATTTGTTTTTTACTTTTTTAGATGGAGTCCATCTTTATGATGCCCGTCTATATATATGACGAAGTTATTGATATTGTCATGGACATCATCCATTTGTGATGAACGGTCGTCCATAACATATGACGATTCCGTATAAGATGGACGATCGTCCATTCACAATCATATTTTCTATCAACATGGCCACGTCTTAGTGATGCCACACGTTCGATAAAAAATTTCGTTGCACAAATGGTATCCCTAGCATTACTGTAGAGATAAGTGTGATATACTCAAGTCCAAACCTTAGATGAAAGGGAAATAACCATGGAGGCATCGTGTGATTCACCTCTAAGAATCTCCCACCACTATTTAAGCCAAACATTCACACGTCAAGAAGCTCAGCTGCTACTAAAATCAAAAGCACCCGTAAAACCCTAATAAAAGGTCTACTCTCTTCTTCTCAAAACCCTTCAATGGGTCGTCGCAAGGTTAAGAACATGACAACCACAACTCAATGAAGCACAGAACACCAGTGTTCGCTTCGAAGACGAAGAAGTCGAGACCACTGTGAGCTCCAATCTCGAGAACCGTTCTGTGGCCGATATAGCCATCGAAGATGAGGCCATGTGTGACGCTGGCGTGTCGTTGGTCGACGCCGAAGATGATAAACCAGTGCCGATTACTATTTCGATTCTTATTCTCACTTTGGTATCTTTCTCTTTAACTTGGAGAAAAAAGAAAATTTTGGTATTTAGTTTTTTTATAATTAGTTATGCTTTTTGGTGAGCGTCTCTGCACAAGCTAATCTTGGCTTTGTTCATTTTTTGTGTTTGCAGGTATTCATGAAGTAAGTGTGCTGAATTGGACGCTAAACTCTTGTCAAGTTTGGTTTTGAAACTTTGATTGTTAATATTTGGTTGCAGTTCAGTTTTGAATCTTTTCTTGTACTTATTATGGTTTTAAGACTCGATTATATGTGCTATATTTGTTGTGCAGTTTTATTTTTTATTCTGTATTAGAAGCTTCTGGTGGTAGCTTCTATTATTTTTCATTTGTGCAATGTGCTTATGTCAATGGCCTTAATTCCAATGTAAAAAGCTGTTGTGAGCTCCATCTAAATCAACATCAATTAGCTTTAGTGGCTTTGTTTAGCTCACAGAAACAACTTCTGTATTAGTGCTCTTAAGTATTATCTTCTTGCTGTATATTATTGGTGTTTTGGAAAATTTACTTATTTATATGTCTTTGGAATTCATGCTAGACTATTTCCATTTTACTAGGTGATATGTGTGGTTCCTCTCGTGTGTCTGAGTCTTGTATCTTATCTGCCAAGGTTCGCTTCACTTTAGTCTTCCTATGTTTAGTATTTTTACAAGTTGTCAAGATTAAAGTCTATACAATTCTTAGCTTGTTTGATCCCTCGTGGAAGTAAAGTTGATTCATCTTTCTTAAAATATTAACTAGATATTCTCTGACTGTTCTTAAATGGCAGGAAATGCTAAAGGATTGTGTGAGAACTAAAACATATCAAAATGTTTTTATCAGATAGTTTCTATTCAAGGACAAAGTGTTCTTGATGTTGGAGCTGGGACTGGAATCTTGTCCTTTTTTGTGCAAAGCAGGGCAGCCCTGTTTATGCTGTATGTATTTTCCATTCTTTTTGTAATATCTTTCTCAACCAGTTTATTACTTATTGTAACTAGAATCTCTAGTTCTTTTCTTTCCTTTTGTATTATTTTTTTATAAGATCTTTCCCGCAATCTATAGCTTACAGTATCTAGCATTTTCTCTAGATTGTCAGGAGTTTCTTTTGCTTGCTAATTATTGTTGTTACTTTTAATTTCCAGGTCGAGTGCTCCCAATGCGTCACGGCAAAACAGATTGTTGAAGCAATGTATTTCCTGATGGTGATTTTATTTTACCTCCTAGGATATGGTCTCGTGAGATGTTGTGTGCGGACCTATTTGGGGGACTCCAATATGAGCCTATTATGTCTTACCCTATAGCCTTCCACTTTTCTGAAATATATGATCTACGCTTCGGCTATATATAACGTGATGAAGAGGAATTACGATCGATCAAATATTCTGCGCTCAGTTGCTAAAGGGATAGTCATTGTATTTCAGACATCCCTGTGTTAATGTTTTCTTTTTATATTTGGAATGATGTGTTTTTGTTTGATTAGGGGGGGGGTGTGGGGAGCGGAGCGTAGAAGGTTTGTGTTAATGTGTATGTGTTTTGGTTGATCTTTCTATCACACACCGGTTTTAGGCGGGGTCGCATCACAGATGACACGCTTATAACCATGCGCTATAGATAAACTGGTAGCATTGCTCAAGTGTGCTCTTGACCCCTCATTTGCTTATATGAGAACTAGATCACCTTTTTAGAGAAAGGTACTGTGACGTAAAGAGCAGTGACCACCCGAGAAAGTTCATCATGTGTGTAACTCACGTCTGTCTGCATGGATAATTGAAAATACGGTATACATTAGGCCTCTAAGGTCCTTTAGTAATGGTGCAACTGAATTATAGGGGACTGGCAAGCCACGAGAATAAGAGAGCTCTGATTGAAGGCTCATGAACCGAATTCGAACAATATCTTTAGGCTCTGCGTCGGCTCAAGATATTTGATCTTAAGGTACGTGTGACATCAAATGTAATGTAAGTTGCAAACTAGATAATCTGGCATTTATCAAAATACAGTGTCGATCACAAACTGCCAGACCTTAAAGTGCAAAGCAGCGCTGGCCTACTTCCACTCATGTGAAGGTGGCTACGCTATTAGATAGCATTATGACCCACACTTGTCAGACGTACAACAACTGTGCACATGAACAATATAATAATGCATTGCCATCGTAGGACTTGGGATTCGTAGCTATTGAGCTGAGTATTATATCGAGCTCGGAGATGGTAGGGCACGTCCGTATAGTTTTCTGGACATGTATCTTTCATTATCTTTGAACCTTTATATGGTGCTACGATGTTTTTGGTGTGTCTGTATGTAGCAAATGCTAATGCATCGGTCTGATCTGTGACACTGCTCTTTAGTAATAGGTGTTACTATATGAATCATTCGTCAGACATTTATGTCTAGAGGCGACTGTCTAACGAAAACCAGACATGTACATATCAAACTCTTAGATATAGGGGTGAAAATTCTACTTCCTCGCAATTTTATCTTTTGGTTAATGCTACTAGTGGACTTTGTTGTTTTTAATGAGTTTATTTGGAATGCATTGTTTTGTTCTTACCCAACCAAGCTTTGCAATTTCATACTTATGCTTTTGTTGATTGCAGGTTGAGAAAAAGGAAAAGAAGGGCTGAATATTGAGAATGTGTGCTGTTCAGATACTTTTTTGCTGTTTTATGCCAAAAGTAGACGGTTCCCTCTGTTGCTAACATTGAGAAATCAAATTAGTTAGGACTCATTACAGATGGAGTTGAAGTTAGATATTGGCATTATGTAACTGGAATATTGATTCTAACTCTCTTTCTCGTGTAGTGAAAATTTCATTTAACTTGGATCCTGCTTTTGGTTTACTTTTGGTTAAGATCCCTATAACATTTTGATTGTGAGATCTTAGGGTTGAATACCTGATCTATTTAATGTTTTATTATTTACAAGAGCTGTTCATCTACATTATGTAATTAATTTTAAGTTTTTTGAAATCTTTATAACCCAATTTTTTTGCAGACCTTCAAAGATGGAGATATGGCTTTGCTTGATATGGGAGCTGAATACAATTTTTATGCATCTGACATAACATGTTCATTCCCTGTGAGTCCTTTTGCTGCTAGGTTTCCCCCAAATTCTCTATTTGTCTATTGCAGTTTTTAAATACATCTAATTGTGTCTTTAGGTGAATGGGAAGTTCACAAGTGATCAAAGTCTTATATATAATGTAAGTGCTTCTAATTTCAATTTTAAAGCAGTGTTGATCATATGATGTTGAAGTCTGATGGCACACTTTCAAACCACTTATATCTATCTTCTAAATGATTGAACTGGCTTCCACACAGGCATACTTGAAATTTATTAAAAATACTTACCAGAAAAAAAAAAAAAAAAAAAAAAGTTGTCGCTGTTAGAGATTTCAGTTGTTGATGAACATCTTACGCAGGCTGTTCTTGAAGCTCACAATGCCGTCATAAAAGCAATGAAACCGGGAGTGAACTGGGTGGACATGCACAAGTAAGGCTAAAAAGTGAAAATGTCCAATATGTTTACACACACACATGTTTGTGGTGCTTGATTGTGATTTATAGATGACAGTTTGTTTAACCTGTTGCATCATAGAACGAGACTTTTGTTGTTTAGTTAATGACTTGTGATATATCAGAAGCCATAGATCGGGTAGATATGTTTCTATCAATAATAAAAAAATAAAAAAAAGCCAGGGTAGATATCTGAAGTTGCAAAAAGTTTGCTTCAATTATCACATGGTACACATTGTATTTCAAGATTCACTGAAACAATCTTCAGTTGAAAGAATAGTTTGCAAATATCGAAGGTCTCTGATGGCAGTTTGTTTTGCTTAAAGCTTTTCTTGTCTTTGTAACATGCATCTTGATGTTAATTGTTATTTATAATTGTAGGTTAGCTGAGAAAGTTATTCTGGAGTCATTGAAGAAGGGTTCTGTCCTTGTTGGGTAATTTTCTATTTTCACATGCTCTGTATTCTTCCAACTTCTCACCATTTCAGAAGTTAAAAAACAATATCTAGATAATGGGAACTTTTTTTATGTAGGAATGTTGATGATATGATGGTTGAACGATTGGGCGCTGTTTTCATGCCTCATGGTCTGGGGCATTTATTGGGTATTGACACCCATGATCCTGGTGGCTACCCAAAGGTCTTTCTGATTAAGTCATCGGCTTATGAACTTTAGTTCCATTACTCATTTATTTTCTTGTACATATGTGTATGTGTGTGCGTGTGCACATTTTTGTTACTCTTGACAGGACTTTTGTCATATGTATTATTAACTGTACAATTAGATATTAGTAGCACTTGTATTTCTTTGATGGACTTGTAGAAATTTAAATTATTTGCAGGGAACAGAAAGACCGAAAGAACCTGGCTTGAAGTCTTTGCGTACTAGTAGAGATCTCCAGCAGGGAATGGTAAGTAATGGGTTCTTATTGCTACGTGATTTATGTTTGATTATGTATTGATTACTGATACTTTACTTATTTATTTGTTTAGTCTGAAAATTGAAGGATTTTCATCAGATTTTTCACTGTATATGCTATTTCTTTTACCAGATTTGATCTGGATTTATAACTTATAATATACCAGAGATTCTAGTTGGAAGTTAATGTGATGAATGTAATTTTGTGCTTCTATATGAACCGAAATTTTCTATTTTGTGGGTTAACTTTTAGTATAGAAATAAATTGTGTTCAAATGTATGGCATACCAGTATAAAAACATTTGTGTTCAAATTGTGCTTTTAACTTTGTTTTTATTTATTTAAATGGAGGGAGCATATTTGTTAAGGCTTCTGATGATATGACATGGGCATGTTTGGATGTCTCATAAAAATCAAGACATTCTGTGTCTTTACTGTGATTTTTGATATCTTGGAAAGAGGAACATCGTCAATCGGACAAAATATTTACATGATAGGCATCCGCTGAATGTTAGAGGGTTAGTTTATTGGACAACTACGTCCTGTATGTGAAACTTACTAACTTTGAAACTTTGATGCTCACTTACAGGTAATAACAGTGGAGCCTGGATGTTATTTCATTGATGCTCTATTGGTTCCAGCCATGGAAAATGCTCACACTTCAAAGTTCTTTAATCGTGAAGTAATTGATAGATTTAAAGATTTTGGTGGTGTTCGCATTGAAAGTGACGTGGTAAATTATTTTTTCATCCTTACATTTACGCCTGAACGAAGAGCATTTCTTCCTCATTTTAGCAGTTATACTTGCATAGTTGCATACCAAGAATCTGACTTCATTATAGCACTTATTTAGTGATTTTCCGTTTTAATATACGCAGATTGTCACTGCTAATGGTTGCGAGAACATGACAAATGTGCCTCGGGAAACCTCAGAGATTGAAGCTGTGATGGGAGGCGCTTCATGGCCGCTGAACAAGAAGTGATCTGTCAAATAGTTGAGAGTTCTGACTAAGTTTTAAGAATAAAGACATTATTTAGAAGAGTAAGGATTATACGCCGGACACTAGCGTTTATTGATAAATTAGAATAAAAATTCTGAAATTTGAGTTCTAAAAACCTTTCCAAAAAATGAAACTCTGACCAAAATGCAATTCTGGGTAAATTTGTCTCTACATACTGCATTTGAAACTTGATAAAGAAAATAAGCTGAGTCAAGAATTTCGATAATGAGCTCTCTCTACTCTCAATTGAATTGAATAAGAAATTGGAAAAATGAAGTGTTTCGCTGGATAAATTTGGGCAGGAAGAGGGTAATATATTAATATGTTGAACCATATGGATATGGTTTTGAAAAAGTGTGAGGTAAGTACCCAAATGGGTAATGCCCATTTTGATATCTGTCTCATCATGTTTTTAATTTATATTCTAATATCATGGAAATCCTTACCAATTTCTGTATAATAACGTGACCTTAAATTTTTACAAATTTCAAAATTATCGAAATTGATTTTAATACATAGCATGACACTAGACGACAAAATACTTCACGTGGCTTAACTTATATTACGTTGGAGCTTTCCATTAAAAGGAGCAAAACGACACCGTGCCAAATCCGGGATGAATTCTAACCTAATTTAGAGAGAATGGGGGCCCCTTTGTCATTTACACTTTCGGTTTGAAGTAAAATTTATTTATCTCAAATACTCGTAATATACTAATATTAGAGACTCATAAGCAAAAATGCTACGAACACCGAATATTGGTATCGAATTTTTGCACCGATCTATGTTGCATCTGACTCGGACGTGGCCATGTAGGACACAACACAAGTATTCAGTGAATGAACGGTCGTCCAATAATTATGGATGCTCGTCCATATCTTATGGACGACCGTTCATCACGAATGGACGAGATTTCAGAAAATCTCAATAGACCCTCGTCCATCATATATGGACGGGAGTCCCTTTACTATGGACATCCGTCCACATTAAATGGATGGTCGTTCATATAATTTATACTCAAATATTTTTTTTTTTAATTTTACAAATATTTTTTTTCATTTATAAAAACCTATAGCTTGTCTAAGACGCTTCTACAAATAAGCGTCAAAATTTTTAAATGAAATATTCATTTTTAAAGCACAAAAATTTTAGATGAAAAAAAATAAAAAATAAAAAATAAACTTTGATTTTTAAAGTACAAAGTATGGATGTCAATCCATCTAATGAGGACAACCGTCCAAATGAGATGGACTGGCGTCCATACTCAAATAAATGTTTTTTTTTTGTTTATTTACAATTTTTTTTCATTTATAAAAAAAATGCAAAGTAAGAGAGAAATGAAGAACTGGATAAAAAGTACTGACAATGTAGTGCAACAGTGGCAGATGGAGACGAAGAAGACGAAGAACGGTGGCAGATGGAGACAAAGAACAGCAACAGAAGGCTTTTGTTTTTTAAAACCTGTTTTGGGAGCCCTAAATTTTTAAACATTCTAATTGAAAATTTTAAAGAAATTTTTTTTATTAAACTAGAATTTAGATATGGACGGCCGTCCATTGTATATAGACGTCCGTCCATTATTTGTTTTTAAACTTTTTTAGATGGACGTCCATCTTATATTGATGCCCGTCTATATTATATGGACGAAAGTCTATTGATATTGTCATGGACGATCATCCATTTGTGATGAACGGTCGTCCATAACATATGGACGATTGTCCGTATAAGATGGACGATCGTCCATTCACAGAATCAGTATTTTCTATCTAACATGGCCACGTCTTAGTGGATGTCACAACGTTCGATAAAAAATTTCGGTGCACAAATTCGGTATCCCTAGCATTACTGTAGAGATAAGTGTGATATACTCCGAAGTCCAAACCTTAGGATGAAAGGGAAATAATCCATGGAGAGCATCGTGTGATTCATATTTTCACTCTAAGAATCTCCCACCACTATTTAAGGCCAAACATTCACACGTCAAGAAGCTCAGCTGCTAAAATCAAAAGCCACCCAGTAAAACCCTAATAAAAGGTCTCCACTCTTCTTCTCCAAAACCCTAATCAATGGGTCGTCGCAAGGTTAAGAACAATGACAACCACAACTCAATGAAGCAGCAGAACACCAGTGTTCACTTCGAAGACGAAGAAGTCGAGACCACTGTGAGCTCCAATCTCGAAGAATCCGTTACTGTGGCCGATATAGCCATCGAAGATGAGGCCATGTGTGACGCTGGCGTGTCGTTGGTCGACGGCGAAGATGATAAAACCAGTGCCGATTACTATTTCGATTCTTATNCCGGTTGACCCGTGATCTGGATAATAAAACGGATTGTTCTTCGATCCGAGTTTTAAAATAATGGTAATATGTTAGAACCATATGGATATAGTTTTGAAAAAGTGTGAGGTAATTACCCAAATGGGTAATGCCCATTTTGATATCTGTCTCATCATATTTTTTTGTATATTCTAATATCATGGAAATCCTTAATAATTTCTGTATAACTACGTGGCCTTAAATTTTTACAAATTTCAAAATTATCGAAATTGATTTTAATGTATAGCATGACACTAGACGGCAAAATACTTCACGTGGCTTAACTTATATTACGTTGGAGCTTTCCATTAAAAGGAACAAAACGACACCGTGCCAAGTCCGGGATGAATTCTAACCTAATTTGGAGAGAATGGGGGCCCCTTTGTCATTTACACTTTCGGTTTGAAGTAAAATTTATTATCTCAGATACTCGTAATATACTAATATTAGAGACTAATAAGCAAAAATGCTACGGACACTGAATATTGGTATCAAATTTTTGCACCGATCTATGTGACATCTGACTCAGACGTGGCTATGTAAGACACAACACAGATATTCAGTGAATGAACTATCGTCCAACAATTATGGACGTTCGTCCATATCTTATAGACGACCGTTCATCACAAATGGACGAGATTCCAAAATATATCAATGGACTCTCGTCCATAATATATGAACGGGAGTCTCTTTACTATGGATAGCCGTCTACCCGTCCCGTCCACATTAAATGGATAGTCGTCCATATAATTTATACTCAAATAATTTTTTTTTTTAATTTTACAAATTTTTTTTTTTCATTTATAAAAACCTATAGCCTGTCTAAGACGCTTCTACAAATAAGCGTCAAAATTTTTAGATGAAATATTCATTTTTAATGCACAAAATTTTTAGATGAAATAAAGGGAAAAAAAAAAAACTTTGATTTCTAAAGTACAAGTATGGATGCCAATCAATCTAATGAGGACGGTCGTCCAAATGAGATGGACTGGTGTCCATACTCAAATAAATGTTTTTTTTTTTCATTTTACAATTTTTTTTTTCATTTATAAAAAAAAAAAATGCAAAGCAAAGAGAGAAATGAAGAACTAGATAAAAAATACTGATAATGTAGTGCCAGAGTTCAGGATAGCAACGATGAAAACGAAGAACAGAAACATATGGAGACAAAGAAGACAAAGAATAGTGGCAATGGAGACGAAGAACAGCGATAGAAGGCTTTTGTTTTTTAAAACTTGTTTGGGAGCCCTAAATTTTTAAACATTCTAATTGAAAATTTTGAAGAAATTTTTTTATTAAACTAGAATTTGGATATGGATGGCCATTCATTGTATATAGACATCCGTCCATTATTTGTTTTTAAACTTTTCTAGATAGATGTTCATCTTATATGGACACCCGTCCATATTATATGAACGAGAGTTTATTGATATTGTCATGGACAATCATCCATTTGTGATGAACAGTCGTCCATAACATATAGACGATCATCCGTATAAGATGGACGATCGTCCATTCACGAAATCATTATTTTCTATCCAATATGGCCACGTCTTAGTGGATGCCACATCGTTCGATAAAAAATATCGGTGCACAAATTTGGTATCCCTAGCATTACTGTAGAGATAAGTGTGATATACTCCAAAGTCCAAACCTTAGTATGCAAGGGAAATAACCCATGGAGAGCATCGTGTGATTCACTCTAAGAATCTCCCACCACTATTTAAGGCAAAACATTCACACGTCAAGAAGCTCAGCTGCTAAAATCAAAAGCCACCCAGTAAAACCCTAATAAAAGGTCTCCACTCTTCTTCTCCAAAACCCTAATCAATGGGTCGTCGCAAGGTTAAGAACAATGACAACCAGAACTCAATGAAGCAGCAGAACACCAGTGTTCACTTCGAAGACGAAGAAGTCGAGACCACTGTGAGCTCCAATCTCGAAGAATCCGTTTCTGTGGCTGATATAGCCATCGAAGATGAGGCCATGTGTGACGCTGGCGTGTCGTTGGTCGACGGCGAAGATGATAAAACCAGTGCCGATTACTATTTCGATTCTTATTCTCACTTTGGTATCTTTCTCTTATAACTTGGGAAAAAAATTGGAAAATTTTTGTTATTAAGTTTTTTTTAATTATTAGTTATGCTTTTTGGTGAGCGTTGTCTTGCACAAGCTAATCTTGGCTTTGTTCATTTTTTGTGTTTGCAGGTATTCATGAAGTAAGTGTGCTGAACTTGGACGCTAAACTCTGTCAAGTTTGGTTTTGAAACATTTGATTGTTAATATGTTTGTAGCAGTTCAGTTTTGAATCTTTTCGTTGTACTTAGTATGGTTTTAAGACTCGGATTATATGTGCTGTATTTTGTTGGCAGTTTATATTTGTTATTCTGTATTAGAAGCTTCTGGTGGTAGCTTCTATTATTTTTCATTTGTGCAATGTGCTTATGTCAATTGGCCTTAATTCCAATGTAAAAAGCTGTTGTGAGCTCCATTCTACAAATCAGACATCAATTAGCTTTAGTGGCTTTGTTTAGCTCACAGAAACCACTTCTGTATTAGTGCTCTTAAGTATTATCTTCTTGCTGTATATTTATTGGTGTTTTGGAAAATTTACTTATTTATATGTCTTTGGAATTCATGCTAGACTATTTGACATTTTACTAGAGTGATATGTGTGGTTCCATCTTCGTGTGTCTGAGTCTTGTATACTTATCTGCCAAGGTTCGCTTCACTTTAGTCTTCCTATGTTTAGTAATTTTTTACAAGTTGTCAAGATATAAAGTCTTATACAAATCTTAGCTTGTTTGACTTCCTCGTGGAAGTAAAGTTGATTTCATCTTTTCTTAAAATATTAACTAGATATTTCTCTGACTGTT